GTGTCCTGGTCATCTTTCTCCTATGATCATTCTGCCCTCTATTCTGTAGAATTTCTAAAACTTAGATATAGGGATCGTATTTTAGATATATAATTTGGGATGGGAATCCCATGGTCAGTTGTATTTATAGATTTAATCTCACATACACAAACATATATTTATGTATGTATGTATTTGAAAATAACAAACAAAGAAGAGGAAATGAATTTGAGATGGGAAGAGAGACAGAGAGGAGCTCAAGTAGGTTGGGGATGGGAATTATGTAAATAGACTATTCACATATAAAAATCCAATTAATTAGACTGAAAAAAAACCAGCTGTTGGTTTCCCCAAAATATAAGTAGCACTATTGCACCTTTAGAGATTTTTTTCATTGAGATCATTGTGGTCAGTCATTGGCTTTAGAGCTGGGTAGGACTATTGGTTGTTTTTCTCACTTGAACACTGAAATAGCACCTTGGGATTCTATGTGAGTCAGATCTTAAGGAAGAAGCTTCTGGGTAAGTTCCAGTCCAATGCTTCCAGGTCCTGTGTACAATGTGTTTTCAGAAAGAGTTTCAGATTTAACTTCAAAACTTAGGAATCAGGATGTAGCCCTTGGCTACTTTTCCAGCTCCAGGCCTGCTGTCATATTCTCTACCTTGATGATAACAGACTAAATCTCTAAAACAGTAAGCAAACCCCCTGTTTAACACTTTCTCTTATAATAATTGCCATGGTCATGGTGTCTCTTCATAGCAATAGAACAGTGAATATGAAAAGCCAGTGAACATAAAAAGAAAACTAAGCAACAGTTTAAAAAATCTCATCACAATAAACTGAGGAATCTATGAGGAAATTCCAAATTTCTACACACTTAGCAAATTCCAGTTTTATGAAAGGGGGATTATATATTGTTTTTAAATTTTTTAAAAGGTGTATAGTATATCTTAGTTATACCCACCTTGACCCTCTCCCTCCAGCCCCCAAATATCTCCCATCTTTGTCTCAACTTCATGTTTCTGTTTTGTTTTGTTTTGTTTTCTCACTCACTAAAAACAATTAGTGTTCTCCACTTATGTTCATATGTGAGCTCATCCACCTGGCTATAAACAACCTATCCCAATGGCTGTTGCCCTCAATGAAAAGTTAACCTCCATAACACCCTAAGTAATCTTGAACTGCAACCATGTCATAATACATGGCTTAGTAAAATTTACCATGGCAACCTGAATCAATAGAGCCAACCAAGACACAGGAGTATAAACATCATAGCCTCCTTACTGTTGTCCTAGTCAGGACTTCTGTTCAGGGGATGTGGCAAGCTCTAGCAAAGAGAAGATTCTGCTCTCAGCTCTTGTTCTCAGCCTGGTTTCTACTGATGTTGGTTTGTCACTCAATTAGAGATGCAGAGTTACAGTCCTGGGCTGATGTGATGGGAGATAAATACTGTGTGATGGGAAATTCTACACATCCATTAATGTTACTTACTCTGGGTTAAATCCAGAACCACAACTTTAAGCAGGAATATCAACCTATAACCATGTTTAATCAATAATAAACCCATTCTGCCTCTGGTTTTGTTTTTTGTTTATTGTTTGTTGTTTCATTTTTGCTTTTTTTCTTTTTAATTTCTTTTACTTTCAGATTGGATTCAAGCTATAAAATGAGTTAAAAGATGAAAGCGAGACTGGAATTTTCAAAGTACTAAAGGGCATTAACTCATCTGTTTCCAAAATGTCAATATGGGTTGTATGTAGTAAGTTTTTCTTTGTCAGGTGGGCACAGGAAAATTTTCAGTTACACTGGGTTAATATTTTGTTTTGTATGATTTCTGGAATAGAGCCATGCATTGCTCATGAATGGGAGAGTTGTGTTCTCTACTGGCCAAACTAGATGCAGTGACTAGGGCTGGTTTTGCTGAAGGAAAGGGGAGGCAATTAACTTTCCTTTTACTCAGGTATTTGTTTCTTTCCTACAAGAATTCTCAACTGAAGCAAAGGGAAGAAAAGTAGTGATGTAAGAAGACTCTAAACACAACTACAAACTTGCAGGGTGAATATAAAATCAGGAATTTTATATATGGTAGGAAAGATGCTTGGAGCTGGACTAACAAATTTAGGCATAACCACACTGTACAGCTATCTGGATATTTGAAAGCCCTCATCATCATGAGATTGCTGCCTCAAAGCATGCTTTCAATGGTGACCCACATTTTTGATTTCTGGAACTTTCTAGACTCTCGATCTCAGCTTAATTTACTTTGACAACTTTCTCAAATAAATGAACAATAAAACCCTTCTCTCTCTCTCTCTCTCTCTCTCTCTCTCTCTCTCTCTCTCTCTCTCTTTTGTAGGATATTTTTAATTCTAAGGAGAAAATATTTATGGTACATGTCTTCATCAATATTCTATTGCCATAAAGAGACACCATGACCATGCCAACTCTCATAAAGGAAAACATTTCATTGGGACTTGCTTACAGTTTTAGAGGTTTTGTCCATTATCAGCATGGTGGAAAGAATGGCTACTTGCAGACCTAGAATTGGAGAAGGAGCTGAGAGTTCTATATACTGATCCTCAGGTAGCAGGTAGAGACACTGGCCTAGCTTGAGTATTTGAAATCCCAAATCACACCCCAGTGACACACTTCCTCCAACAAGGCCACATGTACTGCAGCAAGGGAAACCTTCTAATCCTTCTCAAGTATCATCTCTTCCTAATGATTAAGCATTGAAATATATGAGCCTATGGGGTCTATTCCTATTAAAACCACCATAGTACAATTATGTTAATATACATATATAACATATTTAATATATATTTATATTAATATATAAATGTCAAACTATATTTAAATATATATTTATGGAGATAATTAAACAATTAACAATTATATGTATTAGTCATACAAATAGAAATATATAAGATATAAATACTCTATATAAGTATATACAAAAAATATTCAAATATAGTTACATTGACCTCCAAACTCACCTCATGTACCCCATACTCCTTTTCATATTCACAGACTTCTTTAATTATTATTGTTATATACATAAATATATATGCCTACATAAATATATAAAAGTTGTAGGTTGAGTCTGTTTTGTGTTGTTTGGGTGTATATGACTTCAGGGCTGATCATCTGGTACTGACTGGATAATCAATGAGAGATTTTATTCCTGAGGCAGAAAATACTTTTGCTCTTAGGGCTCTTTATTTGCCTGTAGTTTTTGTATACTAAAATATAATTTTAAATCAACACCACTCAGGAAAAAAAAAAAGCACTGAATGGTATGGAGTAGGAACACTTTTTCTATTCATGACAATGAGTCGTGTGGGCCATGTGTGATGCATACACACACCTTATCCACCACCCACCTTCAAGTTACCATGACTGATGATGTTGTCATTTTCCCTCTCTTATTTTAGCATCAACCAAAGTCCTGTGTGTCTTATAAAAACTCACATCTAGATAACTCTGGAGCATTAGGTTTTTTATGTCTTTATAAAAGATTGATGTGTATTCTAATGAGAAAGAAATAGAAAGGGTGTGAATTGTGGTGAATGAGGATGTAGGAAGGCTCTGGGAGTAGTTGGGGGAAGGGAAATTGTATTCATAATATATTGTGCTGTGGAATGTCATTCTGTATGCTGTCAATATGTGTTGCATTGGTTGGTTGATAAATAAAACTCTGATTGGCCAGAGGCAGGCAGGAAGTATAGGTGGGGTAAGCTGACAAGGAGAATTCTGGGAAGAGGAAAAGCTGAGTCAGGAGACACCAGCCAGACACAGAGGAAGCAAGATAACAAGGCAGAACTAAGGAAAGTTATCAAGCCACATGACTGAACATAGATAAGAATTATAGGTTAATTTAAGTGTAAGAGCTAGCCAATAATAAGCCTGAGCTAATGGCCATACAGTTCATAATTAATATTAAACCTCTGTATGTTTATTTGGTTCTGAGTGGCTGCAGGACCATATGGGAGAGATTTGTCCCAACCTCAGGGCCCAGGCAGGACCAGAGAAACTTCCAATTATAATATTGTATGAAAAAAGCCTACTTGCAATGAACTTTTTTAAATATTTGATGAAATTCTCACAATTTCCTCACAACATTGGGCATGCCTCCTACACAAGCAGCATCTGGTGTCTACTGATGACATCCTGATTCCTGAATGTGTGTGCATTAAACCATGGATATTGTTTGTGGAGGTATATATGTATTCAAGCATTTAAGTGTGTAAAAGAATGTTTTTTTCATCACCCTACACCCTATTCTTGAGACAGGGTCTCCCTGCACCAAACTGACAGGTGGACTTTGATCTGTTGCTATGGTAACAAGCACAGTCCCCATCGTTCTGTCTAGTCCTGGGAGGGATGATATACATTTGATATTTCAAGACTTTTATTGTGAGTGGTGACAACTGAATTTTATTTCTTTTATTTTCAATATAAAAGTATAATTATATCAGTTTTTCCACCCTTCATATTCTCCTTATGTCCCCTCTGCTCTTTTTCAATTAATTGGTTCAGCATGCATTTATGTATGTGCATATTCACAAGCACATTGTGGAACAATTCTACCATTAAGTTTAATAAAAACGTTATTTTCAATTATTACTGTTCCATGCATATATATGTATATATTCATGTATATACTTAATTACTTTTGGTGGAACAATTCTACCATGGTTTGTAATAAAGCCAGTTCAGATGTATACATATGAGAATCCATCATTCCAGGGACACTGTACACTGTTTGTTCCTTTAAAATATTTTTGAAAATTTTCTGAAAAAAAAACAACACATACACAGAAAAAAATGAAGTACCTGATACCCTTAGGAGCTTTCTAAATTTCTCGCTGCTAGGTTTCAAAATTCACATACACATGGGGTGATGAGCCACTATTTCAACTCCTGGTAGAATCCAAGTAATGATGCACACTAGGTACTTTATTGAAAACACTTTTGCAATATATGAAATCAATGCATTTAATCACACATGAAGCCAGTAATGATTTCAGGAGGGTGTGCAGAATTTCCAGAGTAACAACTATGAACACTTTGTGTTTGCTTGATTGAATCAACCTCAAAAATTTATTCCAATGATCAAGGACAGCACATAATGTCCTGTTTCTGCTTCTGGGATCAATGCTTTCATTTAGGGCAAGCATCTGTGAGGTATAACAAAAAAGGGGACATTAAAAATATAATTGGATTTACTTTATATTTTCTGTAAAGATTTTACATTGCTGAAATGAAAACAAGAATCTTTGTGATTTGCTCTAATTTCAGGCCAGTTTACAGAAATTGACTGACCTTCTTCACAGACATTTTTAATATTTTCAATAGGAATTTCATGGTAATGCGTCAGGTTCATGTAATCTTCTCACATTTCTTCAGTGATATTTGTTCCTGTTCCTGCATTGCATGGAGAAAACGTCAGAAGGGATGTTCCTTGTAATCACAATAAAGTGTCTGAACTCATCAAATTGTCATCAGTTGGGAAATCCAGCTACTTTGTCCCACCCTCCCTAATGATGATGCCTGTGAGATAAATTATTATGAAGTCGGGTCAAACATTCTTCCTGCAAATAAATAAATAAATTTTCACATCATTATATCTAAGATACTGATTTAAAAATCAAGGCTAACAATAAAATTATTGTTAAAATTATTACCCTGTACATTTCAACTCCAGTTTCGCACAATTGGTATTATGTTGGAAAGCACATCAGTGAACAACTTCCTTCAGCAGTGCATCATGCAATGAAATGCAGGGACACAGCTATGTTTCAATTAACAATCAGGAAAAAAAAAGTTCTGTCCCCTATCAGATTTACATACAGAGTGCTACAGTCAGCCACTACAGCTTACCCAAATCATTAACAAAGTCGGCTTGGAATAGGATGGTGGCTTTTGAGACAAAATATATCAAAACATCAAATTCACCTGGGCCTGGAAAGAAATAATTTTTCTTCATGAGAACAATATGTAGATTCCTCTTTTATTATTAGGTGTTTATTTTGAGATTTTAATATAATTACATCATTTTGTCACTTCCTTTTGTTCCTTATAATCGTAGTGTATGCTGCTCTACAATCTCCTTCAGATATATGCTCTTTTCAATAATTATCATAGCATGCTTATATTCATTATATTATGTACTGTATATAAATTATATATAATATTATGTAAATAATAACATAAGATAAATGTAAATATATATTTATTCATAAGTAACACTCTTTGAGTCCATATGTTACTTGTATTTATCTAATATTTATTTTTACCTGTATTATTTGTAAAAACAACATTGTCAAACAATTCTTTCATAATAATCCTAGTTTGATACTATGACACTACAAAATATATTATCATTTTGGCATTAAATTATTGAGACAGGGAAACATTCCCATAAGTTCTAATATAAAATACAAAAGTCATGTACATGCCCGTATTTCACCAACTTTAGAAAAACCTATATTTAATTATTTTTTGTTTTTAAGTTAATTTGTTTTTGTACTACATAGCATAATTCATATATGCACTTTTTTCTTCATAGTCATGGAAGACAGATAATGGAGATTTTACTCACATCTGGCTCTGCTCCCCCTGGATCTGAACGTAATAGTAGATATGGGGGAAATGATGATTGGCATTATGCAACACCCAGATCCCAATGATGAAGTCAGTCTCACTCTTTTTGATACATTTTAAAAGGTTGAAAATGCTGTAATATGAGACACAAAGAACAAGCTTTGTGTTAAAGATGCTCCTGATAAAGATCAGATTGATTAGAGAAAATTTGGTTAGAGAAAAACAACACCACCAATTCTCATCCAAAGATACTCACATATAGTAAAGCAAAACTGATATGGAGATTTGTCCACCCAAGCAGTATGTAATTGGCACTTCCCATTTTTTTCTAAACACAATATAATAAATAATAGCCACTTGATATTTAACATTTATTATCCCATGTGTGCTTCTGTCTCAAGAATAATCTTGCTGAAAGTGAGAAATGTTAGATGTCGTGTCTCTGTTTCTGTCATGCTATTCCATGGTTTGTGAATATTTTCATTAATAGTATTTTTGATTGGTGATTCATTTAAGGTATAGAAGGAATTTCAGTACCCAACAAGATGTGTGGACAAAATTGGGCTCCAAACTCACAATAGGATTTCCCACGTCATAAAAGCTATGCCAGTGACTCACTGAAGAAATGGCGGGTATCCAGTTATCAGGATGGTTTTCAAGAGGAGAAGCATTTTTCATGGTGAGGCTATAAACACTGGTTTTTTTTTTTTTTTTGATATTTACTATCTCAGATTTTCCTTTACTTATATTCACATTCATCAATATTTCACTTTCAGCAAACATCAGTTTTATTCACAAATGTATTTTTTACTTTCTGGATTTGTATTTTCACTATTTTAATAGAAAAATTAAAACATCAGGAGCTGAGTGCTAAAGTATAATATTTTTAGGGCAGTGACCCTCGACTGAAGCTTTCCTTGAATTATTATTAGATCCATATTATCTTCCCATTTCAGAAACATATTAGCCGGGCGGTGGTGGTGCACGCCTTTAATCCCAGCACTCGGGAGGCAGAGGCAGGCGGATCTCTGTGAGTTCGAGGCCAGCCTGGTCTACAGAGTGAGATCCAGGAAAGGCGCAAAGCTACACCGAGAAACCCTGTCTCGAAAAAAAAAAAAAAAAAAAAAAAAAAAAAAAAAAAAAGAAAAGAAAAGAAAGAAAGAAACATATTGGGAATGCTTTGAGTGCCTCTTCAACAAACTGTTTCTTCTACTTGAATTAAATTTTCTTACCTGACATAGAATGTCATTCTCATGAGTATAATTCTTAAAAAACTTGATTTCACACATCAACATCCTGAATTCACTATTTTTTTCTGTCACACTCATGATTTTGGATGCTAAGTAGATGCTATTAAAATCCTCTAAACCCTAAAAATTAATACCTTTGGACACAAAGATATTTTATCATCCAAATATGCATTTGATACATTTACATGTGATTTTACTATGTTTTCCCTTAGATTATTTATGTGCATTAAAGCTACTTTGTAATATATATTATACAGTAAATTTTTACTCTGTTTTTCCTCAATTATATTTAGTATCAGATAAAACTATTACCTTTATCAAGTATATATTATAGTATGAGGAAGACCTTGGGACTTTCTGGCATATTTTACAACAAAGTGATTTCTTATAAATCTGCAGGTTTGTGGTTTGGTGAGAAGTTTTTTGACTGTTGCTTTCTTGTTTGTTTGTTTTTTTTGTTGTTGTTGTTTTATAAATTGAAGTAGATACTCATTAATAGATAAAGCAATTGATCCAGGAAGTTAAGCAGTTATTTTGGAAAGTATAGGGAGGAGGGAGAAGGAAAAGAAAGTGAAGGAAAGGGAAGGATAGTATTAAGTATGGTGAATTTATTACAGAATAAAAGTATTTTTAAAAGTAACCATTTCTTATGAATCTCCATAGAAAAGCTTGTAATTCTTGTGGCCACTACTTTGTCTTCTTGAGCTATGCACTGTACAACATTTACTCAGCTTTCCCTGAGCTCATCTTAAAACAATGCCAATTACATCCATGTCTTTTCAGAAAAAAATGGCATCAACATATAGTCACTTAAAAAAAACTGTTGCTCACCTGCAAAGGCCACCTTGTTGAAGAATCTCAGGAGGTTTGTTGTATAGTTTACAATTGACAAACAATGCTAATCCAGGGCTAGGAGAATTGTGTTGACTTTACCTGTGCTCCTGGACACTAGAGCAGACATTGTCTACATGCTATCATTTGAACTGAGCAGTCAGGATTCATAGGAGTTTACAAAACATATAAAGCACAATAAACTCAATCTTATATAAAAAATTCAAATTGCCTATACTAAATTGAGGACAACTGAAAGAGAACAACAACAAAAGGTTGCTTTGAACACCCAATGGAGAGAGGTGCACAACCAAAGACAGTTGGACATAAGCCACTCTGGTCACATCCCTTACTGAGATACCCTAAGGACATGTACCTACCTTCACCAATAGGGCCCATAGCTCTACTCTCAGTAATGTCTGAAATGTGAAGGACTTTGGCTCATAATTCGTCAGCATTTCTGTTGAGAACAGAGAGAGACCGCCTAAGTATTATAGTGCTGGAATGGGACTTTAAACCCATGCAGATATTTCTCCAACTCATCCATCTTATGGAGCATTTGCTCCTGAAGCAAGTTAAAAAAGTACTTTGAGTGACAAAGGATTATATAATCTCAACATAACCACTCAAATACCAGACCAATGTTATCTTGCAGACATTAATATCACCATTGAGTTCCTTCTTTGTCTATTCATGAGTCAATGCTTCTCTCATTCATCACACTGCAATCAATTCAAGCATTTTGGGGGTTCTGGGAATCAAGCACAGGACCTTGTATTCTACTACTGAGCTACATTCCTAATTGTGGTGGTTTGAATAAGAATGGCCTCATAGGCTCATTGGTTTAACTTGGTCATTAAAGAGTAGCACTACTTGAAAGGGATTAGGAGATGTGTTTTTATGGGAGGAAGTGTGTCACTGAGAGTGCACTTTGGGGTTTCAAGTGCTCAATCCAGGTCCAGTGATCTCCTTCTTCATGTTGCCTTATAGAACTCTCAGCTGCCTCTGCATCATGATGCCTGCTGCCAGTATGCTCTCTGCCATGATGACAATGGACTGAATCTTTGAAACTGTAAGCATGCCCAAATTAAATGATTTCCTTTATGAGAGTTGCCATGGTCATGATGTCTCTTCACAGGAATAGAACATTGATTAATATACAAAGTCTTTCAGAATAAATTTTCCAAGGCATCTGAGTATCTCCTGAACTAGAGGATCTGTATTTGCCCTAATGGGCATTGCTATCTAGTAGAATATATAGCTATTAAAACAAACACACATACCTATAAACAAACTATTAGATTTATGAAATTATGCAGTAAGGAAGGCTTAGTGCTATCAAAATAATTCTAGGGTGGGTATTCTGTGAGTAATTGTAATGATGGATTATATTTAATTTAATCCTGGAAGATGAGAAGCCAGTATAGAAGATGACATTCAGACGTACCATAAAGAAAGATTAGTGATAGTGACAGCTGGAGGAGGACAGTGATTGAGGGAGAGGCAAATGAATTTGAAAGTAGTGTTACTACACTAGGGATAGATTATAATTAGAAAAATAAAAGCTGTAAAGGTCAAGAGTGACTCAAGGTTCTTATTGCAATATTTGATTATTTGCAAAGATAGAATACGTAGAGGGTCATGCATTTGGGGGGAAATCCCCAGATCTGTTTGGAACAGGCCTCTTGAGATGTCTAACCTACTTTGAGACACATATGGACTCAGTCAGGGAGAGAGTCAGGTAAGTAACCTGACTCTGATTTCTCACAGTTTTGATGAGCCACAGTAAACTTCTGAATTGAACCTTGTGGTCAGAAACAGGAATTTGATACTTTATGTCCTTAAATCTCCCACATTTTTCTGCACTTGATTTGGCAACTGCAAAGTGAGCTACTGCCAACTTGTGTCCAGATAATGAGCTGTGTTCATTACAGGTACACCTACTTCCTGCTTTGATGCATGCAGAGACATTACCACCAGGTAGAAATATAGACATCATAGAAAAGGAAGAATCTGGTACTGACTTTTTGAATAGTGAAGGATCTGAAATGGAAAAATCTGTAAAAGACTAAACAAAATTGATGTAAGTCAGATAGCAAGAACACTGTCACTTGGAGAGTGTTAGACTCAGCAGTAGGCCAGGTTTCCTTGTCTTTCTTAATATCTAGGGACATCTGTACTTGTTCCTCAAGTACAAAGGGGTTTCTTTCCATGGGACCATAATGCTTTTTGACAAATGATCAATGCACACTTAATGGTTGCAGACTTGCATTGGTCTTATTGCCTTGCAAAATTGTCAGTTTCTGCTTCACTCTCACTATGATCACATAACTGTCACCTGCATTTTAGAAAAAAGGCACAGGTTCAGAGAGTTCCCAAAACATGGCCAATTTTCTTTATATGCAGTGATGGTGTAGTAGACTTCTACACAGGTCCATCTGTCTTGCTTGTCCATCATGATAATGTGCTTTAAGTTAATGAGCCACGTTTCTACTTGATAAATAAATGATTAATCAATCGATTTTGTTTTTTCTCATTTGTCCTACTTTGATTTAATGTTAACGCTCCCTAAGTTCTGCTCACAAGAACTATGTAACTATATTAAACAAGTTGTAAAGATCTAGTCCCTGAAAAATTGTACCTAACTAGCAAAATATGACACTAAAGAGACATACAAATAAAAGCTCTACTTTAAATACAATGACAATTTACACTGAGAAAATGTTCATAATGCTTCTCTTTTATGATTTTAGGCACTTATTTCTAATTTTCCAAATAATAAAGATTTTATGAAAACATAAGAGATTTCTGGAAAAATATCCAGAACTCCATAATACTATTATATATGCATATCTGCTATCTTCTGATTCAGTCGTCTTTGGAATCTTTATTCTGCTCAAGATATTACCCTCCATTTAACCCTTTTATGTATTTCTGTTGAAATATACTTAATTTAATATCTGATACCAACTTATCATTATTTATTTACAGTTTGTGTTTAGCTATATAGTAAGAAGTCATCATTACAATTTCACTGTAATGATTTAATCACTGTACTGATTTAATATATACTTGATAATAGTGAATTGTTGATTCATTAGCATGGAACTTATGGCCAACAACACTATAAGTTAATACTTGCAAGCATTCAATATAATTCTATAGGACACATCAGAACTTCCTTGTTCATAATGCTAAAGAATGCTTTTAGTTACTGTATTGAGCACCAATATAAATAAAATCATCAGCAAGAAGCAAACATTTGGTTAAGTGTAGCCATAAAAAGCAGGCTTGCTTGCAACAAAAAGGCAGAAATCATCATAATATGACTGTGATTGTTACTCTTTTTCACTGCTTTTTATTCAACCTCTAGACCAACGTTATCTACTAGAAATTTTATAAGGGCAACACATTTAAGCATTTCAGTGACCACATTAAAAAATAAGTAAATTGAAACTTCTCTGTCATTTCTAGGAGGCAATCTCACAGCTGACTTCCTAGTAGTCTGAATCTTACAATAATGCCTCCCCCTCGTAGATGTTCCCTGAGCTCTACATGCATGGATTGAATCTAGATTCATCCACTGGATTGGGCTGGCAATTGATCTCTGCATTTTGACCAATTGTAATGATCTCTGTCTTTCTGTAATGAACTCTGTCTGCCAGAAAGAGAAGTGACTTTGAAGATGAATAAGAGCTACACATATCTGTGTGGACAATGATAGATGTAAAATCAGTTAGATATTATAAATGGTTTATTTAAAATTTTATTCCAGACACTAGCCAAAAAAGCCTAGCTACTCTGAACTGCAATGATGTTTCTCGCATAAAGTCACCATTAGTTTACATATTGAATATATAATGTACAATGAATTGCTCAATCACATAGCATTCCAGAAAAAGAAATTGAAGGCTCAAAAAGGAAGGAAAATGGAGAAAAGGAAGGAAGGAAGGAAGAAGGAAGGAAGGAAGGAAGGAAGGAAAAATGTGACTTTAATATCTCTAAATATGTCTTCATTAAAAAAACACTAGTGTGGGTTTATTTAAAGTATCCACTAAGACTCAGTTTCATAAACTGTGTGTTACAACTCTTCATGGAGTCACATAACAATGCACAGATCACAAAGACTTGGGCAACAGTGAAATGTTCTTGAATGTGCAACAACCAAAACTAACTAAAAGTCAAGTGTGGAGGACATATGAGTATTTTCTGGCCAGCTTGTACATGCTGGATGGACCATGTGTTCCACTGCAGCCTTATTTCTGACTATACAAATGCAGTCTGCTCTCGATAGCTGTACTACCCATGCAGTGTCAATATACACCGCACAAATTATCTTGACTTAGGTTCAATATTGTCATACTTATGAATTGCATTTTCACTGTGTGTACAACATTTCTGCTATTAGAAAAACAATTGTTTAATATGGAAAACAAAAAAAATAACATTTTTTAATGTGTAACAAATTAGTGTGTCTTTGAATTGTGCTGTGTTCAAATATTTGCTTATAAACTAATTTTTTTTTCTGATCAAGCTGTGAAATTTTATTTTTCTCAAGTGGGTTTTATAGTAAGCAGACCAGAAAACTTTCTTTGGGAAAAGATCAGGGGACTGTTGAGTTGCCAAGCAACCCAACCACAAAACATTGTTACTAATGGTCAGTGTAGCAGAAAGATAAGGAAATGTTAAGTTATTT